TCGTAAATATTATTTTTTTATTTTTTTTCCACGCGACAATATTAATCCTTCACGTCCAATACTCAGAATAATAAAATAACACAATCTCATTTAGTTATTACATAATATACCCATATCAGATATTGAAATTTATGTTCAATGAATAATTCTTAAAATTAAAGCTCAAATTATCAGCATTTATTAATGACAGTTTATGAAAGCTTGTGTAATATAATATTACATTTAAAATGTCTGTAATATTTAAAATTAAACTATTTCAAGAATTAATTGTTATACGTACATTTGTTTGAAAAATGATTTTATAGCGAAGAATTACTACTATTTTCATATTAATAAAATAAAGTAGTCTAAAAAAAATAATTTGCATTATGGCTAATTTAAAATAAAAAAAAAAAAAAAAAAAAAAAAAAAAAAAAAGTGAATTTGTATGGAAATTTTTCTAAAAGTATCTTACATAACATTATAATATACATCAGGAAAACAAACAATTAACGTACTTATAAATTGTATCAACAAATATTTGAATAATATTAAAACTAAATAAGAATCCAATAAATTCTTCGATTTTAATCTATTATTATTAATTTATTATTAATTTAGTCAATTTATTGGGTATGTTATTTAAAATATTATTTAATTTTAATATTTATTTATATTATGTAAAAATTATTCAATACGTGCATTTATATATCTATATATATATATATATATATATATATATAGACGCGCGTGTTTGTATGCGTGCGTGCGCTCAGGCCTGTGTATGTGAATATGTATAACGCGATAGTGTGAATATCGCGATCAACTAGTCAGGATAACCTGATGATAGTAGCGCAAGAGTAAATCGAACTGCGATTTAATCGCGAGGATACACGCGCCTGGTGAAGTTAATTCACGGCTAGTAATCGTCTTAGACTTCTTAAATTAATTTGATTGGCTCTGTTACTTTTTGCACCGCTCGCCCTTCGTTTTCTTTTATTTTACTTTGTCGAAGTCGACAGTAGTTTAATTCGATTCGTCGCGCGAGAGATCATCAAGTCGACAAAGACCGAGAAAGTCACCGCAGTTTTATCGAATGAACTCGGAAACTTTATTAAAGTGTCCGCTTCGACATTTTGTAAATGAGATTCATTAATATGTTGATTCAATCACGGAGTTTTCAGAGAGTTTATGATCCAGAGAAGTGCCGTTACAGTTGAAATAATACTTATGAAAGAAGTCTTTGTAGTTTAGATGCTCATTAATCGTATGAAAATAAAAATTGAATATTCGTATATTCGTGTAATAGGAAGACCGACTGATAAATTATATCTTATACGAGGACGGAAATTATTTTCCTATCGAATATTATTAAATACGTACAAGAATGATAAATTAAAAATCTAATTAATAAGTTAAAGCATTTTTAATTTTATATTTGAGTTTTCATTTTGAAATACTCCAACGATTTTATACATTTATCTTAAGATAGATTATTAAAATGGAGTTTTTATGAGTTTTGAATACCGCTTTTTTTTTTTATCTACCCAAGATTTCATTTTAGCAAATTCCTCTAGAGATAAAAATTTCATGCCACAAAACATTAGTGTACGAGTTTTTTCCTTTCATATCTTAACTTCAAAACTATGTAATGTTAATTATCTAATCAGTACAAATATTTCTTTAAATACTAGAATATTAAAGTAAATTCTTAGTATGTATACTGATTTATAAAATTTTATTATTAAATTGAAATTTCATAAAAATTAAATTTTAATCTTGTACTTAAAAGTTATAATTTTCTTCTGATAACTATTTATCTTAAATAAACGTAAACGTAGCTATAAATCATAAATTATCTGCCGTATATGCGTGTATTAAGAATTCATCTTGAAATTTAAGAAATTTAATAAAATCTATTAAACCGAACATAATTTAAAAAAAAGAGAAATATTTTACGACGAGTAAACATGCAGTGCGACATTAATTAACATAGTATTAAATAAAATAATTCTCAAACACGAATGATCAATCACGAGAGTAATGAAATAATATAATATACATGTGGATTATCTATATATTTAATCAGTCCGAAAAAAATTTTTTTTATTTGCTTGATTCTTGATTGACATCAATATGTACATCTATATGAATTGAAAATCACTAAGGGATGTATATGTCTGTATTTGTGTGTGTGTGTGTGTGTGTGTGTGTGTGTTTGTGTGCGTGCGTGCGTGGGTGCGTGTGCGTATACGAATATAGAATTGCGTACGTTTTGCTGACAGTAAAAATACAACGAGAAGAAATAAGAGTGAAAAGCAGCTTTTTCCAGTTAGAATTTTCTTTGTAGAACGTGTCACTATGTGGAATTAAAACTTAATTCTTTGTGTACACATATTCAGCTTAAAATAATCAAACGCTTTTTCAGTTTGAAATATCCACTTTGTTCAAATAAGATATCGATTTTACCTATAAAGTATGAACATTTTATTTTACTGTCTTTTTTTTTTTTTTTTTTGTTTGTTTGTTTTTTCTTTTGTTTTAAGAATTGAAATTTGCATTATAGATGAAAACTAATTAACGCCATCATCGACGGAATAAAATTTCAGGTAAATGTTTTATTGTGCTCAATTCGTTATGTATTTTATTGATACAAATCTCCATTATATAACTTCAGTGAGAATATTTTAGGGTTCATTTGAATCTTAATTTCTCATGAAACGATGATTAAACTGACTTTAATGAAACTGAATCAAGTTTAATGCTATTTTTCATTGTACGGAACGCTAATTAATATTTAACGAGTTAAACAATTAATAACGGCAAAACACGAATACAAGCTATAAACTTAAATGTAGTTGACAATTAACTATGTCCATATTTTACTCAATTATATTAAGACTTATAATTTTAAACATGAGGACTTATTTATATAAAACATAAGCATTTGAGCAAAATCAATTGTACAAATATAAGACTTAATTTTTCCGAGTTGTATAGAACTAAGGGGAAAAAGCTTGATTGAAAAATATAATTCAAGAGATTTTTCGACTATATCACTCATATCGTTTCAACTGTGATTACATCTAAGCGTAATAACTATTAAATTTACTTATATAATTTCAAGCTTTTATATCCTTTGTATTATGATACATTAAAGATGTATTGACAAAAAGCCTTGATAACCAGGTAAAGAATAGTTTTTCCATTAATTTTATTCATCCAGTTATACTTTTTAATTATAAGATATGCCAGGCGGGCGTATGGATCGGCTAGCTTTTATGCAATGCAAAACCTTATCTTATCTCCTTCCTCTTTATTAAAACAGACTATAGTTTAACTTATCGAGAAAGTCTTAATACATTGAATTTGTAAGAACTAGTAAATAATTTCACTAGAATGCCCGAATTAAAATCAACGAACTCCAATATAATTTTCTATCCTTTCCTATTACGTCTGCCTTTAATCAGCGAGATTGCTGCTGTAAGGTAAAAAAACCTGCATCCTCCTCGATCAGCTCCTTTTTTCTTCTCTGTCTCTCTCTCTCTCTCTTGTTTTCCTCTCAACCCATCTTATCGTTCTTTTTCTTTGTATCGCTTCCTCACTAACTCAATAGTATTTTTGTTCTTATTATCTTCTCTTATATTCTTCCCCACATGCATCATCACGCCCCTTGTTCTTCTCTTTCGTTCTCCCTTCATCTCTCTCGTCTATGACTGTTTCACTTTCAGGAAGCACAAACTGCCGACGTCGACGATTCCAACGAGTCTCGAGATATCAGCGTCGGCGTCACTTTATTTTCCGGCTTTCGTTATGCCCCTTTCGTGTTTCCTGCCTTTTTAACCCCCCCCCCCCCACTTTTATCAAGTTATGTAACTTTTATCCTCGTGCCGGATGTTTATAGTACTGCGTAAAAGCAATTGGACCCATATGCCCGTGCGGCAAATCCTATAATTGAAATAAATGTTGATAAAAGGTGTACTTACGACTTATTGAAGCTGTAAAGGTTATCAAGGCCTTTGTTTTTTTTATCATTGCGTAAAAAAAACATCCATTAATAGTTTTTTTTTTTATTTATTTTTTATTTTATTGCTAATGGCAATTGAAGCACCTCGTTGTATTATTTTAACCTCATAAATGTTTATAACAACAACGAGATTAAATAGAAGATTGCAATTATACATATCTCAGATCGAATAAACATGATTGTATACAAAAATTATTGCATATAAGCATTTAAATAGGTAATAAGCAAACAATCATTCATTCTACTAATTTTGCAATAAAAAAACTTAATACATTATAAAAATATATTCAATAATTACATTAATGTACACATGCAATTAATTACATATCCAATAAATAAATATGGGACTTATAGAAAGTCCTGTGTATCCAATGTGTTAATTGTATAGTTTAAAGGAACTTATAAAAATTTTTTAAGAATTGTCTTGGTAGTGTTTTTATAAATTTAAATGAAAGCTTTGGATTTTATTCGTACTCTACTCAAACATAAGATTTTGTATTTTCCCGTCAATCGTTCCCCTTTCCTATTGCAATTTATGTACTTATTATTATTTTATTTTTTTCTAATTTTCTTTCACATAAATCATTTAATTTATCTTACATTACAATTAGATTACAAAATTAATGATATGTATAAAGAGTATCTGTGCTATTTCGAAATTTAGAATGTAAATAAAAATTTATCATAAAATTGTATTAAGAAAATAAACTTATTCATAATCGAATCTTAATCAATTGAATGAAAATAAATTTGAATAATTCAATTATGCGGTACCCCATATTGATTAATCAATTAATTTATAACTTATGATTAAATATAAATATTTACGTTATTTCTGAATCTTTTTTTATTCTTACATTTATATGTCGAAGCGACGATCGGTTATGAGTATTAATTAAAATTCACATTAATGAAAAAGTTAATTACATACAAAAATTATAAATGAAAAACATGCTTCAACAACAATTCATTGTTAGATGGTTAAAACACTCACCGGCATTATTACTGGCGTAATTTAGATCCTTACCTGCAACAGAAAGAAGATATCAAGTGCATATTCGTATATAGATAAGTGAATACGTAGATAGTTAAGGTTTATTTAGCAGCATATATATATATATATATATATATATATATATATATATATATTAATTTAAGTTTGCTTTCCTAATGTATACATCTACACACCCGCGCGCACGTGCATAGAGACACACGCGCGCACAGACATACACATACACAGAGAGCCATATAGGGTGAGACATATATATATATATATATATATCTGCATACATACATGCGCGCACATACACAAAGACACACACACAAATGTAGATATCATTACTGTTGAGTGTTTCAGAAGGAGGTAGACGAGGCGACTCCTTACTTACATTGATTTCAGATATCAGATATAAGAGAAAAAGCAGATTGTAGAGGCTCATCCTATTAGAGGATTAATTACGGATTTCGTGTCTCGAGTGCATTAAGGCTTATTGTCAAAACGCACTCAGAGCACGTCACGCAATGTGCATAGTGCAATCATCGATTCTATCCAGCTTAGTAAAGAAAACTGTTCAATTACTTTGAGCCAGTGTTATTTATAAATTGGCTTGAACAACATTGGTCGATTGATTAAATTAAATTTATTAAATTATCGGTGCTATTAAAAAATAGCAACATGACATTTCTCTTAATGTTTTTCGTACAGACTTTATTACAATTTTCATAATAATTACTTGTACGAAGTAACATATGATAAAAAGTTTTTGTAGTTAATTTATTACACGCGAATTATTATATTTACTGCAATAATAAGAAAATTTACTATTATATTTTTATCTCTTTCGAATATATAATTTTTGTCAGTTTCTTATCTTACATCTGTAATACTTCATTCGTTCATAGAAAGAATTTACTATTCATTTAATGTGTACTTTATACGTTAAAAACATTAATTATTTTGAAATGCAATTTCTCTTCTTTAAAATATTTTATACATAGAAGAAAAGAAAAATTATTTATGAATAATCTATTATATAACTAATTGTATATTATATCCCATATTATATATAATAATTTTATTTTTAAATATCAAATTTATAGCGAAACTTATATTTCTAAATGAAGTTACGTACGTTTCTATTAGTTGTATCTAGAAACAATTCCGTACAATTCTATATTAACTATTTATTAACTAATTATTAACTAATACACTTAGATTACTTTTTGATAAAAAAAGTTATATTTATGAATTATAAATAACATTTTCCATTTATTTGACAAATTTATGTTTTATTGAGCATACAATTTAATAGGACAATAAATAATATTTTTATAAATAATAAATAGTATGTTTATATTTCATATGTTTACCAGATCTCAAGCTTTATCAGTGAATTAAAAATTCATTATTTATAAACTATTATATCATTTGCTATTTCAATACTTCAATATCCGAAGGCATAATAATTGCATAAGTAAATAATTATTTAGGTATATGGTTTTATAAATGCAATAGAGATAGACTGGCAGAAACAGAATAAATAGAAGAATGGAATGGAAAAAAGGAGAAATGGGTGGTAAGAAACAGTGTGCCAGAATAGTAAATTGTTAATGGGGCGGGGGCGGGGGCGAGGGGGGGGTGTAGCCAGTTAGGAAATGTTGCACATGTTTGCTTTACCTTATTATACACTTCTAGCATAGGTAATACTTATTTCGTAGATACGTATTAAACATATTAGCCATATATGGAGTGGATATTATAGTCAAATATAGGAAAACTCTCCTCCCATCCTCGGTAAATAGAAGTCGTCTGCTCTAAGCAGCGGTTGCAGCACGCGAACGTGAGGTTAGGAAGTGGAAGAGCGACAGCGTGAGAACGAGAGGGGGAGTCGATGTACGAGGCAGACGAGAATATCCGCGTTTGTTATATACGAGCAAAGAGCAAATACTACACACGTGACGCAAACATATTATGGCCAGGTAAAGAAGGGGTCTTCGCTCTTCATCGTAAAATGCAAAGATTCCGCGAGTAAAAGTGGCCTCATGGACTGAGCGTCTGTCTGTTGAGACGTCCTTTTCCTTTTCGATATTATTAAAAACAATTTTGAAGCTACGAATACATATACGTATATACATAAATCTGATGCATTCGTCAGACGAGTGAAAGGATAAAATTTGTTTATTAAAATACCCGAGATTACGATTTTTCCTCGCTCGGTTAATAAACAACTTACCGCGATATTGTACTTTATTGATATCTCCTCAGAGTTCGTTAATATATCGTAATGTGTTTTTGCAAGAATTATTTATATAGCAAATGTCATTGGTATTTCATTTAACAAGATTAGTAGTTAATATAACGAATATACTCTAATGGAGAAATTTATTATCAAATTTAGTATATAAAATTGTCTATCAGCTGTATATAGCTGACATATAAAATAAATAAATGACTAGTTAAGAAATTAAATATTTGTAAAAATGATATTAAAAATAATTATTAAATTTTTTTTATTTTCTTTTCTCGTCTAATAGTCAAGAATATATATTCGGTTATATATTATATATAAAGTTAGAAAATCATTAATTTTTAATGATATTTAATTTAATCTCACTGTTTTAATATATTTTGCTATTTAATTGTCTAACGTAATTTATCACAAGACAAATAATACAGTAATTTCCATTGTCTATCATAATTCTATTAAACTGCATATATTTACCTTCTTTGCCTTCATTTTTCTTAAAAAACCATATAAATATATCTTACAGTACTTTAGCTTTTTTTACACTCTTACCCTTTATGTTGTAAATAATTAATGTCATATCCAACACAAATATTCTATGTATTACATGTGTAGAGAATATTAATGCATAAGATTTCAATAACTTTAACGAAAAATATTTATGAACAACAAATAGTGTTATCAATTTTTATTTATTCACTCATTTATTTTACATTTAAGTCATTGCCAATATAAATTATCAAGAATTTTCTCAAGACCGACATATTATATTTCATAATATAAAGATTACGAGTGCTTAGGATAATTCTTGTTGTTATGAGTGATAGCTTATAGATAGCAATAATAGCTGTTCATAACAGTTGCTGCTAATAAGTACGAAAAGCACTTAGTGTTGTAAACCAAAAATTGAATAATCTACCAAGTATAATTAAAATTATACTTTAACGTTAATAGCGCACGATAATATCTGCAACTCTCCATTAACTATTAGATTTTTAGTGAAAGTTTAGCCTGGCAAAGTCAAAACTAACATATCAATAAGATAGATTTAGAAGGTACCATTATGAAAATTCAAGTAGTAAAGAATTACTATCTAGTCGTGCAAAGCGTGTATTTTTATCTCTTGATGACGTCTGAAAGAAAGAAAGCGTGACGGAGGAAAAAAAAAGGAAAGTAAATGGGAACGAGTTTCATTTCATTTTTTAGCTGTCTCCCGAGCTCCCGGCCATTCTTCCGCCGTCGACAATAATCCTAGGAAGGGTCGTGGACTTGTATGCTTCCGTAGGATAAAGGTGCTCACACTCCTGCTTCCTCGAAAGGGATGGACAGTAGGATTTATGGCTTGAATATGCGTATCTTTTGGTTTTCTCACTCACAAAAACACATGCACGCACGCACGTACGCAGGCTCATTCGCATATACAAACGTTCTCTCTCTCTCTCTCTCTCTCTCTCTCTCTATGTATCTATCTATCTATCTTACATTAATGGTTTTACCTTGCGTAAACCTTAAATCTCCCTCATTTTCTGAAAATAGTGAAAAAGAGTGCCAAAGGGAAAAATGAATTTAAGATTTTTCTCGCAAAATGGGAAAGAAGAAGAGAAGAAACGCGAAAGTGATTCAGAACGCCTCTTTGCTCACCGCTCGACTTTCCTTCTAGTCTTGAATTTCTCTCTTGTGTCTTCCATTCTATTCGTGGGTACTAGATGCATTTTTTTAAAAAAGTATTTTTTCTTTTTTGACTGATTTTGGCGAGTTAGAAATCATTTAAATTCATAGACGAACATAAATATCCAAGCGATATAATATTTTTTCCTATTCTTCGCATATATAATTGCTTGAATAATAAGAAAATATATAAATTTATAATTTTATAATTAAATCATTTAAGCATATATTGGCTTTATTTACATTTCCGTGATTTTAATTATAATAGAATTCCAGCAAATAGACGATACATCTAAGTATTATTAGCTTTTACAAATATAATTTTATATATCTTCTCGTTAATTATATACTTTTTATCTTTAAATATGATTGTCTATTGAATACAATCACAATTACAAATATATTGATACATTAAGAGTAGATTTATTCATTTCATAATACTTGTCTATACTATGTAATAAATCGGCAATGTATTTCATTACATGTTCATATTATGTTTGTTGTTGTGAGAATAATTTTTTTTTAATTAGGATTTTACGCGGCTGATAAATTATATTTTCAAATTTAAAACAATAATGACCGAATAAGTAGGTTTTGAATCCAAATTGCTCGATAGTTTATAATAATTTTGCTTTGTGTCTATGTAGCAATAATGGTTTTTAAATATAACTTAAATATCCACAAGCATTAATTCGTGAATGTGAACTAATAAATATGCACTATAATTATTATTATTATTTTTCAATCATTGTTTAATAATTTTAAAATAATATCATTTATAATAGCATCTATACTCGAGTTTAATAAACGAAACGGAATATGAATAAATTTGACTCTTTATGAAATCAAAGTCGTAGACAAAATTTTATTTCAGATCTTTGTTATTATAATACAAATTTTCGAATAAATGTTTAATATATACGGTAAAATATTTATTAAAGTGGAGTTATAAATTTTATTATCACGTTTAATGCGTGTAAATTCAACACCGTTTACATTACATAAAAGTAAGTTATAATATTTTATTTCATAATAAAATTTATGAATATTTTATTTTTGTTTCAGATCAATCGTAAATCTTTCAAAATTAAACATTTGAAGTGTTTATGATTTA